ATTGATTGATTGATTGATTGATTGATTGATTGGTGGGGAAGGGGTCGCCCTTCCCCACCAATCAAGCACACACACACACACACACACACACACACGAAAAATTAAAATTTCCTTTTTTTATTACGTTTTTTTAAATTGAAATATGTATTTTTTGTTTATTATTTTTTAAAAATAAGAAAACACTTGTAAAAAAAAAACAAAAATCACCGTGTTGTAGGTCTCTTCAAACCCTACAACCTCATATTTATTTATTTATTTTTTTATTCATTTTTTTTTTTTTTAAATGTTTGAAATTCTCGGCCGCATGAACCTCAGGGGCCGACCTCAGCGGTCGGGATCCCGACCGCTGGCCTAGATTGACCACGCCGTCATGACCGCGGGGGATACATAGGGCACGAATCCTCCCACGTAGCCCACATCCAGGACTGTACCATAAGACTTGCATAAGAATCTTAACAATGAGGAAACGGTCAGATCAAGGGCCTGATTTTTACAAACTAAACACTTCCCTGCTGAAGGGCTCATCATTTTTACAAATGATTCGTCATGAATGGGTCTTCTGGTGTCTACGAAAACCCCTTTTTGATTCCCATCTAGTTTGGTTCAATAACAGATTGATCTTTCTGGCCAGGAAATGTAAGGAATTCTCAAAAGCTAAAGCAGCCTTACGACAACACCATGAAATCTCCACCCATAACGAACTGATAGCCCTAGAACAACAGACAGAATCACAGCATCTTGCCTCCTCCATCCAAGAGTCTCAACATCTCACTACCTCCATCCGAAAAGTTAAAGACCAACTCCTACAATACGCGCTACATAGATGGCAAGAAATAAGAATCCGAGGGAAAATGGCTAGACTTACCCAAGAAGCTACAATGGACGCCCATTTTTTCTCTATGGCCACCGCGCGAGCACGTCGGACGGTCATTGGGGCTTTCTTTGACCCAGACAATAATGATATCATCGCCACCAACACAGCGCACTGCACACTGATCACGAGGAAGTTTTTTAAACAATTATACACGTCTCAAATTTCGTCCCCACAGGAAGATGGCAGGATCAGAGAAGTAGAGGAATTCCTATTACCAATGGACCGACACCTCTCCCCGCAACAGCGTGAGAAGCTAGAGGAAGTGTCGACAAAAGACGAAGTGTGGACAACACTCCTCCAGATGAAGAAAGAAAAAAACCCCGGCATTGACGGCTTCCCACGGAGTTCTGGGAGACTACGTGGTCTGACCTGAGCACGGACCTATGGGACTACTATCAAGCAGTATGGGAGGCCGGGGGGATGGGGGAAATCGTGGGGAAAGGTGTACTATCGTTATTATATAAAAAAGGAGATAAAATGAACATCTGGAACTATAGACCCATCACGTTGCTCACAGTGGTATATAAAATGCTCTCTAAAGCACTGGCGAACCGCATGGCGGTTGTGCTGGAAGACATCATACACCCAACCCAAACAGGGTTCATGACCAGTAGGAATATATAAGAAAATATCCTGTTGGTAAACGAGGTGGTCCAATTAGCGCAACGAAATTAGGCAAACGCCACCATCATTTTTATATATTTCGAAAAGGCTTATGACCACGTCGACTGTAACTTTTTAGATAAATGTCTTAAGAAAATGAACTTTGGACTTGTCTTCCGGCGCAGGGTCAGAATCCTTCATAATAATGCCACCACCTGCGTCCAGGTCAACGGGTCGGTAGCACCCCCTTTCGAGCTCCAACGGTCAGTGAGACACTGTACCCGATTGTCCCCTATCTCTTCTTGATAATAATGGAGGCTCTATCAACCAACCTTCGACACAACAAGGACCTTACACGAATCAAGATCACAAATATTCCAGAGGAGGCAGTGCCCATCTGTTCCCTTTTTGCAGATGACCTCTCCATAATGGTAGAGGCAACATAACCAAACATGAAAGAAATCCAAAATCTTATGAACAGGTTCTGGCAGCTGTCAGACATGGCTGTGAATTGGGGGCAGAAAAATGTGGGATTGTGGATGCATCACCAAGGAGGAAGGCCCCCCGAAAGTCCACGGATCGCTTGGTTTTCCCCAGAAGATCCCTTAAGAAGCCTCGGGCTCCTAGTCATAGCCAAAGGTAAGCAGACGACCAATGATGAATGGCTGGCAGGACCGGCACGAGCTAGACTGGCAGAATGGAACAATAAACGTACATCAATATTTGGGCGGGTCCTCGTTATTAACAACGTAGTACTAACCACACTCTGGTACAAGGTCATCTTATGGCCTATGAGTAATGGGGGGCTCCAAACATTGAAACGACAGTTGGCGGCCTTCCTGTGGAGAGGAGACATTAACAATCCCCATGCTATTAGTCGAGTGGTGTGGGAATCGGTGATTCAGCCTAAGGCCAAAGGTGGACTGGGAATTGTGGATCCAGCCACACAATTCCAGGCCCTCACGGTCCATTGGCTCCAGCACATCATCTTTCCGCCAAACTCCCCCTAGGTCCCCCTAGCTTTAGCACAAATCTCAACCCTGACTCTAGAAGCCCCACCTGAGATTGACCCCCTAGTGTGGCTGGAGGACAGGTACTGGAGGCTACCTAGGAAATACAGGAATGGGAACCCCACGGACAAACAATGGTTACCCCTCATACGCACGTGGAGGAGGCTCCCACCCCCCGACCGACCGGCACCGGCTAGATGGGAAGAAATTTTTAGGCAGCCCCTGTTTGGTAATCGACTGATTATAGACTATCAGCGACGAGTGAGGTGCAACTCGCATACCCCATGTAGGGGTTGGGTGAAACATGGTGCGCGGAGGGTCGGGGACCTTTGGGCCACGGAGACAAGGAGCTGGAAAAGTGCAGAAAAAATGAGGGCTTGGTTGCGATACTACCATTCCACTGAGTCTACACTAAACGAACTCATTGATAGCTTCCCTCTCCAGTGGTACACTATCCTTAGAAAAGGCCCCTGCCTAAAGGAAGGAGACTGGGTAGGTCTGCACGATCACGACAGAGAGATAGGGCAAGTGCCCCTTGTTGACCATACGCAAGTGCTGATTGAAGTCTTCTCCATCCAGAGGAATGATGGATTACGATGGAACCAACAACCGCTTATCTAGAAGGAGAGACAGGGCGTATATCGTGTTAGAGTACTCAATGTAGGACGGGGCCGAAGAGTGTACCGACCAATGACCCCGATTGAGGATCTTCCCCTTGACCCCGATGAGTGGCGGTGGACCCAAGATGCCCGGATTAGGAAAGGAAAGACAAAACTGCTGGCACTACCGGACTTGAAATCCAAATCAATTTACCGAATGCTCCGACCCAAACGCAGACTGCCGGAACTCGTCGCAGATAGATGGTATCGCCACCTCAATATAGACCGCAGCCTGCTAAAACCCATTCGGTGGTTTGCACGCTATGGTAGCAGACCCGCCAAAATCTCTGCCCTTCAATGACAAATAGAACATCGTTGCCTGCCAACTAACGACTGGCTAATAGAGCATACACGCTTGGAACAACAAGGAAGGGCGTTACCTTGGTGCCATAAATGCCTCCAGGGCTACCCTGGGAGGAAGCGCGCGGAGACAATAGAACACATCTTTCTCCAATGTCCTGCGACGGTACTACTATGGAGAAGTTGGGACAGGATTTGGCGACACATTGTTCCCGATAGTATATGGCCTTGGGATTGGAGGGCCATACTCCTGGGATACTACCATCAAATCCGCAGAAACACATTCAAGGAAAATATGTTCCACCTAGGCGGCCGCGCTGTCCTATGGGCCATCTGGTGGAGAAGATGTATCTTCGAGATAGAAGGGGCGCGGGTGGACGAGAGAGAAGTTACGGAGCAAATACGAATGTTAGTCCAACACGAAATCACGGCCCAGTGGAAGGCAGCCAAAGATAAACTTGACCAAATGCATACCTGGGGTGATATTAACCGAACTATCTCCCGTTTCAGCAGGGACTGGCTGGGAGGGGAAAGGGAGGGATGGTTGGCAGAGGTCAGGTGGGCCGGGAACCGTCACTCTGGAAGAGAGTCGCAAGAAGAAGCCTGGACTGAGACGGCAAGAGATTATCAGCTGATTTTTCGCGACTGGACCAAGATAGACCCTGACGACCCGCTACGCCCCGCTCAGGATTTTGCAGACCCCTTCCTTGGAGAAATTCCTACCCCCCCCATGACCACGGCCCTGTCACTTTTCGTCATCTTTTGGCAAGCGGCAGGACACAGCATGCTTTCTGCATTATTCCAGCTTTCTTCTGTTTACCCTGTTCATCTTTGCTCATTTCTCAGCTCTTTTTCAGCTCATATTCATTTTATTTCATTCCATTTCATTTCATTTCATTCCAGGGCAAGCTCATGGCAGTTTATAGCTAAGACACCATAAGGAGAGTCAGGAGAATAGGCGGTGGGGCAATGGGCTATGTAAAAGGAGGGAGACTCCACCGGTGGCCCCCGGTGCCCCCCCCCCTATACTCGCCCGTGCCACAGGATGGGAGGGGAGGCAAACCCCGGCTATGGGATGCTGGACTGCATCATAGTGCTGGTACCCTGGAAAAACTCACAGATGTCTACACCGCCTGCTCAGTCAATCCCCTGGGCTGCAGGGTAATCAATGCTGGCAGGCCCCACAATCACCATTCTCACTATTGCTCAGACATTCTAATTTTTGTATATGGGACGCTGGACCCGTTTTCCAGCAGGTGATGCTCCCCACCAATAGACGGAGCCTCTCCCAGGTGTTAGTGGTGTCTGCTCTTATCAGCAGCACTAACACTGGCGGGGGTGTTTTTCAAAAAATAAAAATAAAAATAAAAATAAAAAAATTGCCTGCTTGATTGACCCTTGAGCCCTTTGAAAGATGAAACACAAAATTTGTTTTTTCGTTTGTCTTTTTTTCTTTTTCTTTTTCTTTTTTTTTTTTTGTTCTGTCATCATCTTGTTGTTGTGACTAAAACAGAAAAACTTGTTTCTGGCACTGCTGCCCACCTCACTCTGCAGGAGGACGAAGAGCTTATTGAAAGCTTCTTTCGAAAGGCAGATCTGAAAACAAGTGCAAAAGACCAATGCACGGAGATGCAGAACCTCTTCCATTCACGTGAGCTGTCCATTAACTGCGCATCCCCTTCCATTTTCTTTTTATTTTTTTCTTTTACAAAACCGACTTTGCAGTAACTGTTCATTAAACCAACAGATCAGTACACAAGCTAGGTGCTAGAAACGGTTTGAATTTTTCAGAACTTGGGGGCTTAATGTCAGATTCTTGAAGACTACCGCACGGGGGATCAGGGTTGAGCCTTGGCTAACGGCCCCCAGGGCCCACGCCCTCGATGAAAGAGGGCTGTATACACACTCTGCTTCCCCGGACCCCTTGGGCATGGTCCCACTAGCAAAGAGGATCGGATCGAATGCCTGAATCTGGACGAGGTTATGGAGATCTGCAGGAGATCGAGATTGACCTGCTTTTCTGCATCTCTGCATAAAACACATCCAGATTCAGGAGCTCTATCCTATCCTTTTTGCTAGTGGGACCTTGCCCCTTATGCGGTGGCACAAAACAGGAATTAAGAGCATGGATGAAGACTTTTTTTTTTTTTTTTTTTTTTACTCAAACTTGCCCCCCGCCAGTGATAGTGTTGCTGGTAAGAGCAGACATCACTACCACCCGGGGAGAGGCTCCATCTATTGGTGGGGAGCTTCACCTGCTGGAAACCGGGTCCAGCGTCCCATAAATGTTGCACAGTAATTCAGTATCATAAGGGGAGACCCTGCCAACATGGATGAAGACTTAAAATTTTCAAATTTGGAATTTTCAAATTTGGAATTTTCAATATCATATTCGGTAAGACGGGTGAGGAACAACGGACACTGGACTACCGGTAGCTAGGCAATCCGATCTGGCGCCTGACAGGGAAGAGGTCCCATAGTAGGCTGACTTCCTTGCAGAAGGAGAACTTCGGTCTGTGTTTTCTGGTTATTATGTGTGTGTCTTTATGAACTTGTATAAGGGACCCTGGACCCGGTTTTCAGCAGCTGCAGCCACAAGGATTCAAAAAAGAAAGAAAGAAAAACACAATCTTTGTTTTTGTTTTTTTTAACTCGCCGTATCCTGTTGCACATATCAACACAGAGCTCAACAAAATCTAGCCTCGCAAAAAGAGAATTCCGAAATGCTTAAACAAAACTAAAACCCCACAGGGATCACAACCACCCGACTTCGACGAAATCTTCAACAAATCACCTGGAAAACCGCAAATTTCCCAAAAATTGTGTGTGTGTGTGTGTGTGTGTGTGTGTGTGTGTGTGTGTGTGTGTGACANACTGTGTGTGTGTGTGTGTGTGTGTGTGTGTGTGTGTGTGTGTGTGTGTGTGTGTGAGAGAGAGAGAGAGAGAGAGGGAGAGAGAGTGCCTGCGTACTATCTCGTATGTATGGTAGGGGTCTTCCTGGTCCGATACAGTCATGATGAGGGCTCGTAGTGCTGTCTCAAACGTTTACTAGCTAAGTGCCCACGGTGCGGGCGGTGCGGGCTGCGCCGGCAGAGATAACAAATGCAGTTGGTGACCTCACACTGCATTTCGGATGGCTCGCCTCCAAGATGTTCACCCGCAGAAACAATGACGGCCTTCCGGGGGCCACAAAACGACAGCCACGCGAGAAATGAAAAAAGAAGGAAGGAAAAGAGAAAAAAACAAAAAAAGGGGGACACAAAACGGCAGGCGTGAGAAATGAAAAAAGGAGAAGGGGAACACAAAAAGACGGCCAACCGGGGAAAGCAAAAAAGAAAGAAAGCCGCCCGCATATCGGATGGCTCGCCTCCAAGATGTTTGTCCGCATCAACGCCAGCCGTATGCCCCGTCCTCGGGGCGCGTGCTCTCGTTTAATGGCGCACTGTGAACATTTCGGTACGCGCACCCCTCTGCACACTCCCCCACCCTTGATCGCCTTCATCCGCCGCCCCTCACCAAAACTTCGACCCGAATCAGGCGTGCAGCGCGTCATGGACCTCCCCCCCGCAACCAATGCTGCTTGATAGGACTAGAAAAGGGAACGACAGAGCGGACACCCTGTTCTACTGGGGATTTTGGTAATAATAAAAAGAAGAAAATGAGAACGTTGGTGAGTGTGGCTTGTGCCCTATGATAATGTATAACCCTCTAGAACATGGAAAGGGGCGTGAGACATCTGCCATTTTTTGGGACTGGTGGAGGGCACAGCACGTGACACCTGCAGAATGGGGAGATCTGTGGTTGGATCGCCCTGTTCTATTAAGAAGCATCGTTCTCTCTATCCCAGCAACTGCTGCCTTTGTTTTTTGAGGCCTTGCATGCAGTGATTTTTTGAAACATTTGGAAAATTGCGTAATAGCGTGGTGTGCTGGCAGGATCCCCCCCGTGACAGTTTCTCTTCTGATGTACTTCATATTCAATCTGTATAAGGGGCGCTGGACCCGTTTTCCAGCAGGTGATGCTCCCCACCAATAGATGGAGCCTCTCCCTAGGTGCTAGCGGTGGCTGCTCTTATCAGCACCACTAACACTGGCGGGGGCATGTCAAAA